GACATCTTCCAATTTCTGACTTACAGGGACAGTCACTGTGGCACCAGGCATCTTTACTGGGGAGAGGTAGGCAAGCCAGCGGGTCCTGCACCCATGGGGCCGGCAGTCCAGGTGCTGGTTCTCCGACACCATGTCTGTGTCACTGCTGTGGCCGAGGGACCTTCTACATCTTCAAGGAAAACACTCAGGCTCTCCATGGGGTCGTTCTAGGTTTGGCTCTGTTTGTGGGATTCTAATTCTTTGAAAGCTGATAATCTGACATCAGCCTGAACTTGTGGAATTGCACGGACCTTGCCTTGACTCTCTCACTATGGAATGCAACAAGAAGGTCCTGGTAGCATCTGCAGCAGGTGAGCTTTGGGACAGACATTCCCAGACAGCCAGGTCCTGTCCCAATCCACAAAAGATGTGAGGTTGGGAGCACATGGCATCCAAGAAGACAGGGCTGTGGGAAGCCCAGACCTCTCTGTCCTGCCTGTTCATGCTTGGGTCACCTGTGACCAGATCCTAGACAATCAGGACCAGGCTGGGCTTCCCAGGAGGAGCATGAATAAGCAAGACACTGACCATGGATTGAAGGATGCAATAGCAATGCTTCATTTTTGATAGAACAGGAGGTTAAGATGAGTGCTTCAAAGTTCAGCACACCTGCTTACTCTGGAAAGAGCAACTGGACAATTTAAAAGAGCAACAACCACCACTTCTCAACCCTAGGACTGGTGGCCCGGGCTCAGAGGTTCCCATCAATGTCACCCCCTGCCTTCGGTGTGTCTGGTGGCAGCATTTCTAGAAGAATTGAGCAGGATCCCTAGGTCCAGGGCTCTTATTACTGCTATTACCTGAACAGTGAACATTTCCATTGGGATTAGGTGGGCACAGAAGCAATGTTCAATCTGCTTCAAGTTTCCAGGCTGGGAAACTATGCCAAGCAGACGCTGAGGGAGTGTGTTAGTTACAATGCATTAATTGAGCAGCCACTATGTTGGGAGCAAAATAGGTTTCTATAGCCAATTAAATACGAAGCTATGAGAGGGGGAAAGGGATGGAGCAAGAGGGTGACTCAGAGAGGTCTCTTTACTTGTAATTAACCACAAAATAAACAGCTCCCTCGTGGAATGGGGCGCCGCACTTCAATTAGCTCCATGTTATTCTGTCCCCTATTAGTTCAGATAATCAAGGGTTGGCTGTAATTAATTTATAGAATGTGCTCAGGAGCAGAGCCAAATGGCAGCTGGGAAGGCTGGCAGAGCAGTGCATTTCTCCCAAGTGCCTCCGGGAAGGACTCACTCTGGCTCAGCCTCCCCAAACAAGTCAGGGTCACCCTGGGGTGATGGGGAGGTGGGCAGAGGTCAACATAGGCTGCTTTTGTGGCTGGTGGCAACCACAGCTTCCCCCACCTTCTTCTGCTCAATCCCTGAGACTCCAAGCCCTGAAGGGTGGTGACATTTGAAATAAAAACATCTTATCCAGACAATGGAATATTACTCAGCCATAAAAACGAATGGTGTCTGACACATGGATGAACCTTGAAGGTATGACACTGAGTGAAAGAAGCCAGACACCAAAGGCCACATGTTGTGTGACTATTTATACAATGTGTTCAGAATGGTCCAATCTATAGAGGTAGAAAATAGATGAGTACAGTCGGCACTCTGCACCCATGGGTTAACCCATATCTGAGGATCAAAAATATTTGAAAGAAAAAAATTATATCTGTATTGAATCCATATAGACTTTTCTTGGTTTTATTCCATAAACAATAGATTGTAAAAACTATTTACATAGAATTGATGTTGGATCAGCTATAAGAAGTCATCTAGAGATGACTTAAAGGGAGTATGCGAAGGTTCTATGCAAACACTACAGCATTTTATGTGAGGGACTTGAGCATTCATGCGTTTTGGTATCCACGGGTTGGGTTCTGGAACCAGTGTCTCCCAAGAACACTGGGGGATAATGTGGTCGCCAGGGCCCAGGGGCAGGGGACCACAGGGGTGACTGCTAGTGGATACGGGAGAGACAAAAATGTTTGGAACTATGCGGAAGTGATGGTTGTTCAGCACTGTGACTGGACTAAATGCCACTCACTTATTCTCTTTAAAATGGTAAATTTTATGTGAATTTTACTCAGTAAATGAAGGTGTGTTTAAACTGATGAAACCTTATTACAGTAAAAGATATATATATATAGACTCTCCCCTTCAAAGTACTCCCTCTCATTTTGAACACTTTTTTTTTAGTGCCAGGGATCAAACTCAGGACCTTGCACTCGCCAGGCAGGAGCGGTGCCACTGAGCTCCATGTCTGACACTCTTACCCCATTGTTCTTGGCACTTTCTGAAGCAGCTCCGGCAGTGCTCGTGAAAACATGACAGTGCATCCTCAGCCATCTTGTTCACCGGATCTGACACCTTCAACCTCTGGCTCTTCCTCAGAGCTCAAATGACCGTGAAAGGGAAACTTTTTGAGTTGATTCAAGACATTCAAGCAGCCATGACAGGGGAACTAAAGACACTCGTAGAAGAGGACTTCGGGAGCTGCTTCAGAAAGTATCGAGAACAATGGGTAATTGAGTTCAAGGCGAGGGGCAGTATTTCAAGGGGCATGAATGACAATGTGTCTTTTACTGTAATACATTTTTAAGGTTTAATAATTCAGCATATATTTTGATCACACCATATACAATTTCCTGAGTTCAGATGCATTGGGCCCTGGCGGCAAACCCACGGCAAACAGCCTGGCTGGGAGCATTATTATCTCTGGCCAATACACAAAACAGTTGGGACTCAGAGAGGGGATATGAGGGGACGCAGGAGTTGGGGAGAAGCTGGATTTGGACACCAGGTGGTGGCCCATGGTTTATCACTGGAGGACTCCAGTGGCTTTTCAAAGGTGAGGTCTCTGGAGAAGGGGACAGTACAAAAATCTCGGGAGGATGGAACCAGAGTCAGGGGGCAAAAGGAGGCGGTGGGTTTTAGAAGAGAGGATGGGGACATGGGGCTTGTGATGGAGAAAAGGGAACAAGAACTCAGGGTTTTATTTAGCAACCACAGGTGCAGAGCTGAGAAAAGGAAAGAGAAATGAAAAGCAACACAGAGAGAGGGAAGCTGGGGCGGCGTGGGAGAGCGGGTAAGAGGGCAGGTCCTCGGGGGACTGCGGAGACCTCAGGCCGCATCCCTCCTCCTGAGCGCTCCTGGAGCCACAAGTCACCCATATGTGAACTTGAGTAATTTCCCGGAGGCTGGTTCATCGGTTTTAAAACCATTGTTGATCTTGAAACTCCAAAATACTCAGACTCACCCTTTCCACCTATCCGGGCAAGTAAGAGGGGCCAGGAGCTGAGTGATACCAAACATCTCAGATACACCCGTTCTCTTTCCCAGGCAGGCTGTTGTCCAGAGTGAGGGTCAGTCTTGCTCCTCTCCTCCTCTCTTCTCTCCTTCCCTCCCCTCTTCTTCCTCTCTCTCTCTCTCTCTCTGATTTACAGTGTAAAAATGTCTCTAAGGGAATTTGTCAGGTTGGAGGTTTGCTTGTGGGTGTTTCTTTTCACTTTCTCTACAAAAACACGAAGCCAGCAAACACAAGACCGCGTCTTTCTGATGTTTCTGCTTCCTACACCACAGCTGTGGTGGAAATAATAGCACCAGGGGTTCGAATGCAGCAGCAAGAGAATTCAGGACTCCTTACACTCAGACACCATCTCTGCCTTCTCGCCATGCAGGTGAACAATGATAAATCAGATGCCAGCCAGGAAGCCTTTTAATGGTGTGCTAATGACACAATCACCAGTAATGAAATGAGGCACCCGTCAAAATTGCACCCAGAAACTGTCGATCAGCATTACCAGACTCAGCGCTGTTAGGACCGCATTTTCTTGGTGGTGGAGTGGCAAAGCTGCTGTTCTGTCATCATCTCTCCCTTCTTGCCTTGCACTGGGAGCTCTGGAAGAGTCGATTTAGGAAGCCAGGCTTGAAGGTTACATGAGCAAGTGCAGGCTGGGGCTCCAGCTGGCAGGTGGTGACAGCTGGGATCAACCTGAAATTCCTGCATTGAAGGTTGTTACCCTCTGCCCTGAGTGACTTTAAGATAGTGAGGATGTATCATTCCTTTCTTATTTTAAGGGCTGCCTCTAAAGCCTGGATGACTTTTTCTTTTCTTTTCTTTTTTGGTACCGGGGATTGAACTCAGGACCTTGTGCTTGCAAGGCAGGCGGCGGAACCACTGAGCTAAATCCCCGGCCCCATGGATGACTTTTTCAAACCAGGGAAGACAGTTTAATGCCATAAAAGAAGGCTGTGCAGTCTCTCAGGAGCAGAGGATCTCTAGGGACTGCCAACGTCTCTCTAGGTCACAGAACCGAGGGCTTCCTGGAGCACTTCATCAGGAATTAAGAAACCACTAAGGCTACAAGAAACCTCCATCGGGAAGCAAACTCTCCTGGACCTTCTGCCTCCTTGGGAGGTGCTCAGCCCACAATGCCTGGCTTGGGCATCCTACTATTTCCCACTCCATTCTGCTTGTGGGCAGGGGTGGGCTTTGGGGGGGTGATGCTGGACCACACTTAGCAACAGGCTCATTTCTTTTCATATGCAAATCAAGCAACCCTCCAGAGGGACTGAGTAGAAGGCACTGGGGTTGGGGGAAGTGATCCATCCCAGAGCTGGCACCTCCTCAACACTGGCACTGTCCTCAGGAAGGAGAAAAAGGGCGCCCGCTGGGACAGGAGGGGCACCCTTGTTGCTTGGGTCTGAGGAGAAACCTTTGCAGCTGGGACCCAGCTCTGCACAGACCAAGCTAGGGGGTGAAGCAGCTGCTGAGATTCCACATCTTGTTTAGGAAATTAAGGAATGAGAAGGGACACGTTTGAAGCCACTGAGGGCCTGTGTAGAGACAAGAGCAAAGGGGCCAGGTGGGAGGAGGGAGGCACAGCAGCCCTCAGGATGTAGGACGCAGCTACACCAGCTCTGAACAGGCAGGGACCGGATGGAAAATGTACTCACAGGGTTTCAAGCCAGCTGCGTCCCAGCCCCGTCTCCGTGTGTTCTCTCAAATTCCCTCTCTGCTGCTTGTGGTCTGTGAGGCCCCAAAAAACGCCGAGGGTGCTGAGGTTGTAGCCGTCTGCCCCGGAAGCCCACATGGGCGCTGCACTTGGAGGCTGCAGCTATTTTTAGCAGAGGGAGGGAGGGCTGGGGGGGCGGCACACTTCCCCTTCCCCCCCCCCAGCAGAGTCTGTGGGTGACTTCAACCCCATGGAGGAGGAGGCTGGCAACCACAGGGGCCATGTTCTGCATGGTTTGCCACAGAGAACCAAAGTGGATCTGCCTGGGGGCAGGAGTGCAGGAGCAGTGGGGCCTGAGCGCTCTGGCTTTGAACTCTGGTGAGGAGGGAGCGTGGGCCTGGACCACCCCAGCGACGAGACTCTGCGTGCACATACCCTGCCCCATCCTCTTCTCTCTACTTCCACACGTCTCAGTGGGCGCAGAGCCCAGGCACCCGGACTCCCCCATCCCAGCACCAACAGGCGTCCCTTGGGCCACAATCCTCTGACAACCCGGATTTGTCTCCGTCCTCCCAGCAGCGCTTCCTGCTGCAGGCTGCCCACCTCCCTCCCTGGGGGACGCTGTGGTGCAGCCAGTGGGGAGTGGCAGGGGGCTGGGACCACCACAGAGAATGGGAGCTACAAGGGTGTGGGGAGGACAGAGGCCGGGGAGAAGCAGAAACCACCTGTTCAGCATCCAGGCAGGTGGACAGCAGCCCCTTTCCTCCCTCAAGGCGGTCGCTGACCCCCACCCCCTTCCCGATTACCCGAAGCACGAGAGTCTCTCACCTGACTCTCCCAGTCCCCACAGGACAGAGTCACATTTACCTGGGGACTCTGGTGCCCCTCTGTTTCCAGCCTACCACTTTCTGTTCCTTCATTTTGCCCAAACCTGCAGCATGATCCGTAAACTGCATAGCCACAAGTTCAAAGTGTAATGAGGAGAAGATGCCATGTCATGGAGACTCCAGGGGAGTCACAGAGCAGCCACCCCCTGGAGGGCTCCTCCTGCCCCTTCCATCCTGCCTGTCAGCCTCAAAGGCACCTGAGCCTGTGGCCTTGATCAGTCTTACTCCTTCTTGGATTTCAGGAAGACAGGACGGTGTGCTCTGTGCTCCTGCGGGTCTGACTCTTGCTTGGCACTTCAGGAGCATCAGCTGGAGTGTGTGTCAGCAGCTTGCTCCTTTTGTTACTGAGCAGTATCCCACTGACGTATGTGCTGCAGTCTGCTCATTGTCTACTGGATGGACATTTGCCTTGTTTCCTCTTTGATTGGACATTGCTGTACAAGTCTCCAAGGGGACATACATTGCCATTTCTTTTGGGAAGACACCCTGGAGCAGGACATGACTCATACAGTGGAAGTCTGCTCCACATGATAGCATTTCACTCCTACCAGCACTGGACCAGAGACCCATTTCCTTGGCAACCTTGTCACCATGTGGAGCATCAGATTCATCTTCTGTGGTCTACTCAGGGAGGATGAGGAGACAGGCAGGAAGGACCTCTCCCAGGGCCTTCGGAGAAAGCATGGCCCTACTGACATCTTGACTTTGGACATCTGATTTCCATGCTCTGAGACAGTATCTTTCTGTTGTTTTGAGCTGCCTGGTTTGAGGTCACTTGTTACATCAGCCCTGGGAAACACATACATTTTCCCTTCCTCCAGCTGTTTCTGCCAGTCAAACTCCTACATAGCTACACAGACCTCTCTTACCAGTGCCACCACCTCCTCCATGAAGCTTTCCCTGATTACCTATATGGCCCCCTACCCCAGGGCACCCTCTTGTGAGCTGCTCTGTGTGTGTGTGTGGCATTGTGGGGATGCTGTCTGCTGAAGATGCGGGGGGGTGTAGGAGGATGGGGGGAGGGGAGCACAGCAAGAAGTTAAAGGTCACAGTCAGAGCGAAGGAGAATGAACTTCAGAGCTGGGAGGGTCTCAGGCCATCACACCTACCAGACCCTATTTCACACCTGAAGGAATGGACATACAAGGGGTAAAAGTCCAGTGAGTTAAAACTACCCTGAACTTCGTGCCCACAACGTACAGGTTCAGCCGGGTCCTTTATCCAGGTCTCCTCCCATCATCTACTTGTGGAATACATCACAGGTCCTCATGTTGCAGAGGAAGGTGTGGATCGGGGGGACCCAGGCCCAGGACCCCCATGGGGAGCTAGGAAAGAAGCAGGAGTGGGAGTCATTGGCTTGCTGATCTTTCTATCGTCTGTGCTTTTCTTTTCCTACCCTGGAGAGCTGACCACCCAAAGACCAAAGAGGACAGCATCCATGACATCAGGAAGCTTACACCTACTGCACACAGCTGAGGAAGCAGCCTCACCATGGAGCTGAAGGCTTTGGGGAAGGGATGTTAACCCTGTCCCAGTGCTGCCCGGACCCTTGAGTCCCTTCCCACTTCAGCTCCCTATGGCAGAGACCATGATACATAAATGGCAGGATGACGTCTTGACATCTTTTCTCCAGAAGAGGAAGAGACTCCTGGGGTGCTCATCCCACAAGCACCTGAGGGACCTCTGAGAGAGGACAGGAGGCCAAGCTCTCTCACAGCAGCCACGGGGAATAGGGTTGCTGGAGGCCACAGGAAAGGACACCTCAGAGGCCTCTTGAAGGCAGTAGTGACTGAATCACACAGGAGAAGGAAGTGGTGTCTGGGGGCTTCCGGCACACACACCCAGGGGGTGTGAATCTGAGTGTGTGGGTGAGAAGTGAATTCTCTACTACAGTAAAAATAAAATAAAACACACACGAGCTGGCTGTACAACTTGCAGCCCCACAGAAGCTTGGGGACCCTGAGATCAACACCTGGACTTGAACTAGGTGCTTCCATGTCCAAGCCCCAAACCCCAGCCCTCCCAGAGCTGAGGGGTCAAAGGGGGGGCTCTTTTCCTTATCCCGTTCCCCAAACAGCTCAGGACCCTGCCTGTCTGAAGACTCAGGACTCAGCCTCGTCCTGGCCCTGCTTGTTTTATTTGGGTCTGCCTTGAAACTGCGGTGCACGCCCTCGACTGCTGACTCAGCCGCAGGAGCCCACACTCATAAACTCCTACTTCAAAAAGGTCCAATGATTTTATTTTCTGATCATAAATATGAAATTTAATTAGCAGTTTGCTGCTAATGAAGTCGCCATGGAAGCTGGCCTGGAGACACACAATGTCCTATAAAACAGGACCTGCTGTCCTTTTAACTCTTCCTTTCCCCTGCCTGCCTTCCCCTCCCTGGGACCCTCTTATGGCCACAGGCTTTGGGGGCCTGGGGACAGTAGAGGAAGGATAAGGAGGGGCTGTTGGTCTAGGCAAGGACTGGTGTGGGTTCTAGCTCAGGTGCCCCCTCCCCAGGTCTCCAGGAAGTCTGTAGCCACTAGTTCTGTATGGTTGATTTTGTGGGTTAACTAGACCAGGCTAATGGGTGCCCAGAGAGCTGGTAAAGCATCGCAGGGTATGTCTGGGAGGCTGTTTCTGACGGAGAGCAGCATCAGAATCAATGGACTGGGTAGAGAAGGTCTGCCCTGCCCAGTGTGGATGGTGCCACCCAATCTGTTGAGGGCTGGGTAGAAAAGAAAGGTGGAGGAAGGATGACTCTCTTCCCTTCTCCTGCCCTTCACATCAGAGCTCCTTGTCCTCAGCCTCTGGACTCTTACACACCATCTGCTCCCCTGGCTCTGAGATCTTTGAACTTGGACTGCATCACACCAGTGGCTTTTCTGACTCTCCAGTTGCAGACAGCTCCTCGTGGGACTCTTTGGCCTCCTAATTACATGAGGCAATTCCCACAGTAAATCCCCTTTTATCTGGGTCTCTATAGATCCTATTGGTTCTGTTTCTCTGACTAATACACTCTGCACTGATCCATGCCCAGCTCCCATCCTCCCTCTAAAACCCCTCTGATGGAGCATTGTCCATGGCAGGCGGGAGGGACCCGGAACAATGCAGAGTCTCTGCAGAAGAGCTTAAGGAAAAAATAGCAGAGCTTAGAAAGAGCTCAGCTACACAGTGTGATGTTAGACGTGAGTGGGCGAACAAACAGCTTGGTCCACTCTGGCTTGCTGTGGATAGGAGAATGGAGAGCAGCCAGAGAGGGCCACGTGCTAGCCTCCTGTGGGCAACTTTCAGATCTCTCCATGAGCAACCCCAAGGTCAGAAGGACTGCACCTTCCCTCCTTTCCACTTCATATGAAACACACAGAACCCAAGACCTTTTCTTCCAACGTCTGCCCTCCATGTCTCTACAAAGTAAGGAATCACAGTGCCCACAGCTTGCAGGATTTGAGTCGTGACTGAACGCATTTCTAAAGAACACACCTGGAATGTACTAGGTGCTCAGTAAATGGGATTTCCCATTTTCATCATCCTTGTCTGAGTTTATTAGTTAAAGGCAAAATCCAGAACTCACTAAAGTCTGAGGGTTCATTGAGAGGAAATGGATTTTTCATTCCATGCATACTCAAGCAATGGAAGTTCAAATGTGATTGTAACTCTTCCAAACCTGCTGGGGAAAAGCCAGTGTTGGCCAGCACAATGCCAACACCACTGAAGTGTGTTCAGAGCTTCTGTGTGACTGCATCTAAAATCCCAGTGTGCACAGATGGCATGAGGATACAGCCTTTACCCACACAGAGGTCACGCTCGTGCACACCCTCCTATGTGCCCTGCATGCAGGAGCAAGTGCAAGGACTCCTTCCCACATGTGAATCCTGAGAGGGGTGGGGGACCCACGTTCACTCTGGATAGAGCGAGCAGCTTTAGACTTAGGCTGTAGTCAAAGGACAAATCACTGTATTCTAGGGAAAAGCTTATGGTAGAAGGTACTAGAGGAACTTTTTCCTGCTTGCTTTTTAAAAAATGGATATATATTGCAGTTCTGCAGGCATTTGGGTTTTGGCTCTGAACAAGAAAGAATGGCTCAGGTTTGGCCACTGTGGTTCTGTGGGGATTCTCCTGAGGTCATGACTGAGAGGCTGGGATGCTGCAGCCCCAACAGGTGGAACTGTCAGCCCCAACAGGTGCAGCTGGCTACATCGTGGGTGGGGGAGATGGGTTTGTGTAAACCAGGCCCCTCCTCTCTTCTCACGGGGTCTGAGCAGGTCCCTGAGCACACACCAAACTCCTTGGCACTGTGGCTGCAATCTCAGCCTCGCCTGGACTTTCTAGACCTGCAGCCTTGGGCCACACCTGGACCTTCCCTAGCAACCTTCCATGCATCTCTGCATGACTCAGGTGACTCAGGTACACACCCTGACTCACCCCTCCCCGTGTGCAGACACAGCTACTATAAAAAGGTCAAAGTTTTGTTTTGTTTTTTGATGGTATTGGAGATTGAATCCAGGGCCTCTGCACTGAGCTACATCCCCAGTTCTTTTTATTTTATTTTTTATTTTGAGACAGGATCTTGCTAAGTCACTAGGTAGCCCAGGCTGGGCTTACACTTACGACCCTCTTGGCTCAATCTTCCAGAATACTGTGAGTCAACACACCCAGCCTGTGGAAGATTTAATGAAAACATGAACATAATAAGGGAATAGAGATGAAATGAACACTACCTAAAGAAAATTCTAAAACTAAAGATTCGAATATCTTAATTACAAATTCAACAAATGAATTTAACTATTTGGCCATTGCAGAAGAAAATATGAGCAACAGAAACTACATAACCAAAGTATACAGAGAAAAGGGCTGAAAAGAATGAACAGAAGCCAGGTGCAGTGGCACATGCCTATAATCTCGGTTATTCAGGAGGCTGAAGCAGAAGGATCACAAGTTCAAGCCCAGCCTGGGAAACTTAGCAAGACCCCATCTGGGGATGGGGAGAACAAACAGAGAACCAGTGAATTGCTGGGATAATATCTAGTAGTCTAATATTAGGAATTAAAGTTCTACCAGGAGAAGATACAGAGGCAATGTGGAAGAGGAATTACTTAAAAAAAATTGACCAAATTTTCAAAAGGACCAAAAGTTTTCCAAATCACATGAAAAAATATTAGCCCAGAGATCCAAGAAACTCAATGAATCCAAAGCAAAATAAACACACAACCTTCATCAAATTGCTGATCTTCATCAAGCTGCTGAAAACCGAATATAAAGAGGAAAATCTTAAAAGCAGATGAAAGAAAAAAAATGTTACAGACAATGAAATGGCTCTGAGAATCTCCATTCACTCTTAATAAGGCTGGGCGCCAGGCTGACAGTGGGATGCCTTTCATGTGCTGAAACAAACAGACAAACAGGTCAACTCGGGGTTCTTCCTGAAGTGAAATATCTTTCAAATGTAAGATGAAATAAAGACCCTTTCTTTGATAAGCCCAAAGCTGAAAAATGTATCACCAGGAGCCTGTAACATAAGGAATGTTAAAAGACATTTTTCAGAGTGAAGAACAATGAGAGCAGCTAGGAGCCAGGTGTACACAGAGGAGGCACAACAGGGTCATTATGGGAGTAAACAGGACAGATTCTTTATCAGTCTTAATTTCTCTCCAAGATAATTGCCTAATGTGTGTGGTACATGTGTACCCATGCTTAGAGCAGCACAATTCATGATAGCTAAATTTTGAAAGTGGCCTATATGCCCATCAATGGATGAGCAGATAAAGAAAATGTAGGGCCGAGGATTTAGCTCAGTGATTTCACCACTTGCTGTGCAAGTGCAAGGACCCGAGTTCGATCCCTGGTACCAAAAAAAAAAAAAGAAAAAGAAAATGTATTTATACACAATGGAGTACTACTCTGCCATAAAGAAGGATAAACTTGAGTCATTTGTAGGAAAATGAATGCCCGTTGAGACCATAACGCCAAGTGAAATAAATCAGACACAGAAGGTTAGCTATTGGATAGTTTCTTATATGAGAAACCCAAACAAGAAAAGATTTAAAGAACAAAATAAAAGACAGATGATGGAAACAGGGATAGACTTTGAGATGGGAAAGGGTTTGGGGGAGTGCGAGAGATGGGAGAGCTAGGAAGAGAAGCAACAATGGTTAAGATGCAATATGAATACACACCCATTCTCGACGAATGTAATTATTAGGCATCACAAACATATACTACATTTTTTAAAAAACACCCTCCCCTACAAAACAATAATTTATTTTGCAGTTTATCACATACGTAAAATATAATATATGACAACAATAACACCAAGAATGAGAGAGGCTTAAATAAAAGT